CACTGACTTATTACTTATAATTTCAATTAATTAATTAATATTAGATTCTAGTAATGATAATAATGATAAAGGAAAAGGCATGAAAAAGTCCAAAAAGGTTGATGATAATGATGAGACTGAAGTAATGCTTAATATTAAGGAAGAAGATCGAGGTAATCATTGCATTAAATGGTTATAAAAGATAGTAAATAGTTAACAATGAATAAATAATCATAAAATTTAGAAATGATGATGTTTGAATGGTTGGCAGATATAAATAGTGAACCAATAATTCCTCCTATAAGCAATGCAAAAAAATCTCACCGAAATAAACAGAAAAATAATATTGCTAGAACTAGTTATAAAAGTTTACAAGGTAAATTAATTCTTATTAATTAATTGAAAGTTATCAATCACTGACTTATTACTTATAATTTCAATTAATTAATTAATATTAGATTCTAGTAATGATAATAATGATAAAGGAAAAGACATGAAAAAGTTCAAAGAGGCTGATGATAATGATGAGACTGAAGTAATGTTTAATATTAAAGAAGATCAAGGTAATCATTACATTAAATGGTTATAAAAGTTAAAAATTGTTAACAATAAATAACTAATCATAAAATTTAGAAATGATGATGTTTGAATGTTTAGCAGATATAAATAGTGAATCTATAATTTCTTCTACAAGTAATGCTAATAATAAAACAAAAAAATCCCCCCAAAATAAACAGAGAAATAATATTGCTAGAACTAGTTATAATAGTTCACAAGGTAAAATTAAATTAATTGAAAGTTGCCAATCACTAATTTATTACTTACAATTTCAATTATTAATTAATTATATTAGATTCTAGTAATGACAATGAAGGTATAGACAAGGTTGAAATAATATTTGAATATAAAGAAGATGACTTGGCTGAATGTATTAAGAATAATAAGAAACGTCGAGACCGATGGTGGTTTATAAAAATATAAAAAACCACCAATATATAGAGTCACGTGACAATCCTGGATATATATAGTAATACGGTGCAGATCATCTATAATAATTACAATAACAATTGGTCAACTTCAAAATATACACTAAAAACAAAAAAAAAATACCTCATTTTAAAAAATTAGCCGATAAGTTTTATTTTTCATGACTCAAGCTTCAAAAATTTATCGGCTGTTTTTTTCTTAAACTGAAAATTGGCTGAGCCTTAATATTAACATTTTGAAAATTCCGAATTTTGTTATACACTTAAGAAATTGAGACTAAGTAAATTTCGTGTAACAACTTTTTTTTCATAGAATATTTTTTTTATAAAGTTATTTCGTGAGATTCAAAATATTGTAACACGAAAAAATATATGAAAAGAAAAAATTTGAGACAAATTTTTTTTTAGATTAATAGACCCTTTTAAAGCTGAATTGAATGGTGGTGGTTTTTTAAATTCAATGTGTGTATCACATAATATTTCAACAATTTTAACTTTTGAGTATTAGATGATCCGCACTGTATATAGTAAATTTTACCCTTTTAATCATTTTAGCATACATATAAGACATGTAACTTCATATATAATAAATAACCATTGAAAATTTTTTTATATTAATATAGTTGTTAACTAATTCTTGTTTTTGTCAAATTAGTATTAAGCAGGGTTCTTAGAAAACTTACTTAAAATAGAAAGGACAAACTTTCTATATCAATTGCTCGTTTTTCTATATATTTTAAAATTTTTTGCCTGATCTTATAATAAAAATTTTCTACTATACCCAAAATAGTCACACCACTCATTATCACACTAGTATATGAATAAAGTGACATGAAAAATATAAAACTTTTATCCCAATATCATTCATACTACTTTTTTTAAAACTCTTGTCCGTTTTTTTTGATAATTTATAATTACGTAGTAATTCAACAAAGAGTAAAAAGCGGAAATTAATTATTAAAAAAGTAGTATCAAATAATATAATTATAATATACTGAAGTTTCGCCACATATAAATAACAACTTGTTGTTTTACAAACCTTAAAAAGTAAAAAAAGGAATTTTTTAAAAAATTTTCACCTTGAAAATTGGCCACGGTGGCAGGTTCTAATGACCTTTGGGTAAAGTCTCATGTATGTTTAAAAAATTTCAGGGTAAATTAATTACCGAAAATGTCATACAAAATATTCAAACGAGTTATTCTTTTCTAAATTAGATAATTCATTGTTTTATTTTATTTAAAATGCCCAAAACTACTCGACTATCTGAATTTGAACGTGAAGGAATTATTGGCTTTAAAAAAGGCCAATTTTCATATAAAGAAATAGCTCAGATAGATCCAAAAGAGCAATCGAAACACTTGACTTAGAATGAAAAATAAGATGGGAATGGTTTAATATTAATCCGGAAAGAATTAATACCATTGAGGGTGGATTCTGTTTTAAAAAATAAAGGAAACCTGACAAGATATCGATTTTTTTTTAATAAAATACAATCAATTTAATATTTTTGGTGTCTCAATTAGTGGTTGAACTGCTTCGTAAAACTTTCTACGTTTTTATTTTTTTCTAAAATTTAGAAGTAACTAGATGGACGTATTTTTTTTACTTGTATCACAAAGGTTGTTAGAACTTGCTATTGTGGCAAAACTTCAGTATATTGTACTATTTGATATGGGCAAATATTCTTGGGATAATAAAATTTTTTATGTCACCATTCAATTATTTTCGATGATCAACAAGAATATTTTTGACAAAGGGTTTTGTATCAATTAGAACATCTGATAAATGATCATTAAAGGGTTTTACCATATACATAAAAATCATGAAAAAATTTTTTCGCCAAATTTAAATAAATTGATCGGTTATAACCGAAAAAATTTTAGATTTTTTCAATTTTGAATTTTTTGAAATTATTATTAATGGCGTTTATTTTGCATGACAATGACAATCCTCATCATAATTAATATTATCGATATGTGAATTTTAGTAGCACGGAATTTTGTCTATTAATAATATTTTCTTTTTACAGTTTAATAGTTACTAACAACAACGAGATGCAATATATTTTTTGTCATTGATCATTGATTTTTTGAAGGCTATATGAGACGTCAAGTTATGGCAATGTAACCATTCATATACACGACTAAATTTGATTGTATGAACAAATTTGTAAATCTATGAAAAATAAATTGATATAGCAGTAAACATTGACACACACATACATATACACATTAATAATCCGGAGTTAATAGAGGAGTTTGTTTATTGTATAAATATAAATAGTAAAATGGTTTTTTTTATTTATTTTTTTATGTTCTGTTTGATCAGGTTTAATAAAATTTTTTTTTCACGACTTTTACCTTCTTTTTTTCTGAATTATTCTTCCATACACGACAATAAGAACATTCAATATTATTACTCTCTTTTTCTTCTTCCACTTTTCATTAACGATATTTTTAAAAATCACGAAATAATATAGTAATTGATGACATTATTTAATAATAGTTTAATAAATATTCTTTCTTTCTTTAGCAGTTTTCTTTACTTTCATTTGTAAATATTCTAATTTATTCTTTTTTTTTGTCATAAGTTATAATTTTTCTTTGTAAATTTTTATTTGTCTATCTTTCCCCTTCATACCTGCTCGCCTGCATACTCACTTACCACCCACCTGCATACCCACTACCACCTGCCTGACCGCCTATCCACCTACCCACTTAATTATTCATCATCACACATTATATCATATATTTTTTTTGCACTCTTTATGAATAACTTTTAAAGAAGGAATAATAGGAAGGAATAATATAATATCATATTGATAATATTAATAAAAAAACCATGATCTCAAATTTTGACGAATTCTACTTTGTTGGTAAGTATCGTAATAAAGAATGAAAGATTATTTAATGTAGAGTGAATCTCTAATATGAAATCTCTTATCTATTTTTTTTCTTGATCTTTAAAATGTAGAAAAAGCAGTCACAGAAATTTGGATATGGATGTGGTTTGTTCATCGTGTATGGTCTACAGATAAATTTTCCAATTTAAGATGGTGTAAAATTAAAGCAATGGAATTAAAATCAATAATTACAACCTTGCTATTAATAGGATTTCCAATGATGGCCGTATGCATACAATATTATTTATTATAGGGATTATTATTGTTGCCAAATACCATCATCACTAATATCGCTAACAAATTATCGCTCATTTTCCGCTAACAATAATATAGATTTATGATATATCATGGATCAAAATTAAATATTCAGAAGGTCATATTGGATTGACAAGCACTAGTGCTGATGGTCATAATGAAGATAAATATATTGAAAAGCCCTATCTAGATCCAAATAATTCATCACAAATTATTTGGTCTAAAGAAAATCAAATATTAAAAGAGACGGCCGACTATTTACTCTGTGCCATTTACTCTTTACAAACGTAAGCCATTATTTAGATTTATATTTTACATGGTATTGTCATAATAATCATCATCATAATCATAATAATATATACATTTTTTTTTTGTATCAATGTGAATAGTGGCACACTAATTTTATTACAGGCGTTTTGGAGCCATTTAACAGATCAAATGGGCGATAAGACATTTATGAATTCTTGTGAATTTAAAATGTATATTTTATGGAGTTTTTTATCAATTCTGATATTTCCTATACCAAGATACATGCTAGAGGACTATCAGTTGCTTTCAGAAGTAGGTTGATTTTTGCAGAGGGTAGAATGAGATGAGAGATGGGAACGGGAGATCAATGATGTGTTAATCTAATATTAATAACATGCAATTATATTTTTACTAGATTGTTCCAAATCTTATCTTTTCCATTGTGCTTTTATTGATATTTTCCTTGGCGGTAAGTTAAAATAAATATAGTGATATAATAATAGCGATAACAATAACAATAGCAATAACAATCATAATAATTATTATTATTCACACACACGCACGAATATATTCAAAACAAATAACAGATCCGAACAAGAATAAAACTCAAAGAATTACTAAAAAAATTCCACAGAAAATCACTTGAAAGTCAAGAAACCTCACTACGCATAAACTATTTCTTAGAGATGAACTGTTTGCTTATGATAGGATTACTTTTAACTAGCATTGGTTTTATAATTTTGTTTATTGAAGAAATGGCAATAACGCCATCAACAAATGCGCAAATGATAACAATAAACGCTATTTTTAGAGATTTTTTAACGGTTTTAACAAATTTTGGAAATTTGATTTTATGGGTGACGATAATTTTCATTATTTACCCAAGATACCACATAACTGGATTATTTGGTAGCTTATCCCTAACCAAGAAAACTTTGAATAGATTGAGTAAGGTTATTGTTATTGTTGGTAATGATCAATCATCTTCTATGACAACAAGTGATGATAGTGAGTATTATGAGGAAGAAGATGTTGAAAGCGATAAGAATAAGGGAGCACAAAGGTTTTCTGGAAATATAACAGAAATAATTAATAATTATAATTATAATGACAATGACAATGACAATGCCATAAATGCTCTAATCGAAGAGCAAGATAAAATATTTCAAAAATTCAAGAATTCAACTAATTTATTTATAACGCCGCCACCACCTTCGCTACAACCACCAATAACGATACATTCTCCAAACCAACTGCCTCCTTACCAACTGCCTCCTTCACTAAACTTACCACCACCACCATCATCAAAGCCACCACGATCACTACTAAGAAATAATAACATTTCACCGTCAACATCTTCCGTAATATTTCCATATAAAGATAAATCAATTTCTTTATTGGAAAGAAACGACACGCCACCATTAAACACGTTACAAAATAATAGTCATAATTATCAATATTAATCGTAATAATAATTGTAATATAATATAATGAGCATAAAAACCTGGGGGTTTGGATTTTCTCATATTATTGTATATTAATCACTGGTTTTTTTGTTTGTTGGGGGTATTATTTGTATATTCATAATTCGATAATCATTATAATATTCTTAATACTAATAATTAATTCGATAATCGTTGTAATATTCATAATAATAATAACAATGATATTCGGTAATATTCTATCTTTTTTTTAATAATAAATAATAATCATTATCAATATTAGTTTTGTTTATTTAACGATTTAGACTTGATAATATCGGTACATCAAATGAATCACTATCAAAAATCTGCATTCTATTTTCTCGACATCCGTATGCTGTTGGAATTATTTCAATTAAATAATTCTTTGGTATTACAATAGTTGGTATTTCCTATATTACATAATGAAGATGTTGGATAATAGGTAATTGTATGAAGAAAATGAAAATAAAATGAAAATGCAATATAAAAATCTTACATCTTGTGGTCTATCAAATAAATAAGCATACAAGATCTTCAACACGGTTTCATGAGCAACAATTAATACATCATTTTTTTCATGCTCAAGTTCCAAAATTATTGCTTCAAGTCGAAGCGTTAAATCATGATATGACTAAAAAAAGATAATATATATATAGTATATCGTTATTATTATTATACCATGTATTAAAAGTACACAATAACCAAAATCAAATAATACATAACAGCCAAAAGAATTGTTTACCTCTCCTCTAGGATATCGATGATTGTATAAATCTTTTTTTCGTCCTATATAATCATCTGGAAATTTATTCTATACATGTATGTATGTATGTATGTATGTATGTATACATTTAATTAATGAATTAAAATATTGTTGAAAAAATTTTTTTTTTAATAATATGTATCTAAATTTTATTTTATTTACCTTAATTTCTTCTTCTGTCATATCATCCGCCTCACCCAAATTTAATTCTGCCAATAAAGTATGCTGTCGTACATTGTAACCTCCATCTTTCTCAAACACTTTAGCTGTTTGAATTGATCTTTGACGTGGTGATGTCCAAATCTATTATTATTATGAATATAAAATATAAAAACCTTTTTTTTTTTCCTAAAAGGAATCAAACTTTTTGAAATAAATAATATAATTATATAGATAATAACTGTCAACGGTCTTTCGTAATCGCCCCATCCTTGTTCGATTCTTTGTTTCCTTTCTTTTTCTCTTAATTCTAATAAAAATTTTTTTAATTTATTAGCATAACGTATTCCAGCCGAATTTAACCCTGGATCAAACTTCTGTGATAAATCATTCGTTGACTCGCCGCTCTATTGTAATAACAAGATTAACATAAGTGATTTATACAAATAAATGGATTTATATATGTGTATCTCTCTGTATACCCGTGCAAAATAAATTATTCTTGTTGAAATATGTAAATTCATTAAATAATAAACGATTCGTGACTAAGAAAGAAAAAAAAAATTTTTAATAATAATTACATCAATACCATTAGAATCATCATCATCATCATCACCACTATTATTAATTACAAACCTGGAGATAACCTTTAACATTATTTACAATGATTCTTTCACCAACGTTAATCATCTTGACAAAACTATGTGCCATGTTAGAAATTGGCTCATATAGCTCTACATGATTATTGATACGAGTCTGTTATAATAAAGTACAGTATATATATTATTAAATGATAAACTGATAATAATTCATCTGTAATATCATAAATTAATATCATAGATTATTATTATTATTACCCAATAATCTTTAACTGCTTCTTCTGGATCCCAACCAATATACTAGTAAATATATATATATATATTAATATAACAATAATAATAATTGTTATTAGTTATTAGCTATTAGTTACATTACTTTTAATCAATTGATTAATTAAAATAATTATTTACATCTGGAGAAGTAATTTTTACACCTCTAATATTTGCTTCGATAATCTCAGGTTTTTCACATATTGATTCTTATATTAAAAAAAAATATGACAAATTAAAAAATAGTTATTAAAAAAAAATATTCTTTAAAAATCATATATGAATAACATTTACCAATAAAAAGAGGCTAGAATCAATTAATTCAACATATATATATATATATTAATATAAAAAAATCCCATTAAAAAAAAAACAAAGTATACCCAAAACACCAATGAAAATCACATATATACATGTATATTACGATTGATCAGAACATCACTTATTTCTTTACGTCTTTCTTCTGTCGTATTACTAGCATCATAAATTCCAACCTGCCCTTCTTTTTCCAACCAATCAATCAAATCTTGTAAACAATCTGTTGCAATTTTATGTCTTGCTTCATTTGATTCTTGATTTTCTATATTTCACACATACATATGTATAAATATTTATGAATATATATAATTTTAGCAATTAATAAATTATTATTGATTACATATATTTATAACGGATGGCAATAATTCTTGATAAAACATACTAGGATTGAAAAAATCCTGAGGTAAACTTGAAGCTGTTCCCACAACTTTTCTTCTATAGTTTCCCACACTAAAAACTTTAGTTGGCACGCCTAACCATTTAAGATAACGATGTAAAGAACGAGCTAAATGTGTCTTCCCTCTAGCTGGCAAGCTTTAAGAAATTATCGTTAGTGTTATTAAAATGAAATATTGTTGAAAGGTGAAACGCTGGCTGATCTTGAATTGGTTATTTACCCTACTGTAATAATGGTTATTCTACCCGCATGAAACAAATGCACAGGTTTGGGTTCAATTTTATTTTGATTTTGTTGAGAATTCATTGTAAAATTTAAAATTTATAACCAGCTGACAGCTGACAATAAATATTGTTATCAATTGCCATCTATAAATCATACAAATTAATGATTATCATAAATAATCATAAATAGCGATTACACAGTGAGTCTCGATTTAGCGGACCTCGATTTAGCGGATTTAGGGGTTTAACGGATAAATTTTCAAAACCAAATTTTTCTATAATTATTTTACCTCGATTTAACGGATTTAACGGATTTTCATATATAATTCGATTTAACGGATATTTTTTAAAAATCCATATATGTCACTTATAATAAAATTCTCTCGATATTACGGATAATAATGATCCTTGCCTTTTTTGGATAGTATAATTTTATAACGTAATAATGTATTATTAATTTATTTTAAATATTAACAACGGACAAATTGTTAACTATTACTATTTCTTAGCAATGATTGTTGTTAATGATTCATTATGATGTCAATGACACTTATATATGTGTCCTTTTTTTTTATTTCTTTATAAGCTAATAATTGAAAGATTGTTGTTAATGATTCGTTCTGATGTCATTATTTTTTTAATAAGTGAGGTCATTGCTTTTTAATTTTACGTATGAATAAAGTCAAAGAAGCCATTTTTAATCATTTTAGAAATGCCATTGTATTACTTCAAATAGATATAAAAAGATCTTTGATTGTAGGTTGGGGACTATCAAACTTGATAATAAATAATAAATTTAACAAAATCATAATAAAATTGAAAATATGTCAGAACAGAACATATCAGAAGACCTAAGTCAAATATCAAAAGTAATTTTTAATTAATTAATAATGGTTTAAATGTTATTTATGCCTCAAAAATTAATTCTTTTAAAAATCATTTAGAAAACAAGAAAAATATTAACTAAAGCACAAAAAAAAGAATTATGTGAAAAAAAGAGAGATAACCCAAATATTAAAGGAATTGACCTTGCCCAAGAGTATGGAATATCTACACAATCCGTTTCTGATATATTGAGGCAATCTTCCGAATGGTTGAAATATGAAGAAGGTTCTTCAAATAATCAATTTAGGAAAAAAGCAACTAGTCACCCGAATATTGAAGAAGCAACAAGAATTTGGATTGAGCAACTTCTTGCTAAAAATTTAACAATAAGTGGTCCTATTATTCAAGAAAAAGCAAAAGAATTTGCTAATATGTTCGGAATTAGAGATTTTAATGCATCTAGTGGATGGTTATCCAATTTTAAAAAAAGAAATGACTTACAAAGTTATAAAAAAAGAGGAGAGTCTATGAGTGTTCCTATTGATGAAATTGCAAACATGCAATTTCAACTTCAAGAAATCTTGAAAAACTATAGTCCCGAAGATATATGGAATTGTGATGAAACTGCTATATTCTGGAAGCTAGAACCAAAAAGAACAATTGCTCATGCATCAGTTTTTGGTAAAAAAAGACCCAAAGATCGTTTTACAGCCATGCTCACCTGTAATTCAATTGGAGAAAAACTCCCAGTTCTTTTCATCCATAAATTCGAAAACCCGAGATCCCTGAGAGGCATATCTAAAAATTCACTTCCAGTATGGTATTATTGGAATTCAAAGGCATGGATGCAAAGAAGTATCTTCAAACATTATTTAGAAAGAGTTAACTCCATAATGTACAGAAAAGGAAAAAAAATAATTTTACTTTTAGATAATGCGAGTTCACACAACTCTGATAATATCTCCAATTTGTCAAATGTAAGAATTCATTTTTTCCCTCCCAATACAACATCTGTGCTGCAACCTCTGGATCAAGGCATTATTTATAGTTTGAAGGTAAACAAATAAAAAGTTTTATGTATTAGCATTTTTCTAACATTAATTAAATTATATTTTTTTCCAGTCAAAATATAGAAAAATTCTTTGTCAAGATAGAATTTTAGCATACCAGACATTAGAAGATAATAGCCAAGAACCAGCCCAACTCACAATTTTTGATGGAATCAATTTCATTTCTGAAGCCTGGAAACAAGTGGAAGTTGAAACCATTAAACATAGCTGGGAAAAAACAAAAATAATTAGTGATGATAATCAAAGTTCAATGATTATTGATTCAAACAATCAACCAGAAATAGATGAGATAAATAATTTAATTTCTCAACTTCCCATTGAAAATCCTTTAAATGCTGACGAATTTATTATGATTGATCAAAATCTTGAATTTGAAGAAGAAATGACAGTACAAGAAATTGTAAACGTAGTGTTGGGACAACCTGAAGTTGAAGATAATGAGGGTGTTGATAAGATAAGTGAGCCAATTGTAACAAGTACAGAGGCTATAAATGGTTTGGAAAATGCGCTTAAATATATACAACAAAAAGATTTAGAAGTTGATTCTCAAATAATTAAAAATATATTGAAGTTAAAAAGAGAGATTTCTTATAGAAGTACCCAAGAAGCAAGACAATGTCGAATTGATGAATTTATAAGTCAACAATGATATTATTACTACTACTATTATTATTATTATTATTATTATTATTATTATTATTTTATTATTATTATCCGTTATATTTTGTTTTTTATTAATATATAAAAATTATTTTAAATAAAAAATTATTTTTTTTTTGTGTACCACACATCACATGATTTGATCAGAAGTTTTCGATTTAGCGGATCTCTCGATTTAACGGATAAATTTTCTGGAAAAAAATATCCGTTAAATCGAGACTCACTGTGTATCATCAAATATTTCTTTTTTAAAAAAAAAGATCCAAAACAAAGTTCATAGATTTATTGACAATTTGCGTATCTCAACAAATGTCATTATATTTTATATATATATATATATATTGTTATTATTAAATCAGTTTTGTTATTATATCGATCAAAACAAGTCAATCGTTTACATTCTCATTTATCAACAAGAAACCATCGTACAAACTCGAAAAAGAACCCAACATAGATGAGTTGATTACAACGACTTAAACTACATAATCCAATTTCAAACCTTCAGGAAAATGAATTGACAACTGCCACTACTAAGATTAATTGCCCAGTATCTGAAGACCATAACTGCCAATGGCACAATAAGAGTTGTTTACGCTCATTTTCAATTTTTATTTTTACATTGTTGAGAGCCCAATTTTTCCACTCGACAAACAAAGAGATCAAATAGAAAATTTTAGCAAAGAATTGACAGTTGTAGGCGATTAACATTATTGAAAAAGAGGCAAAATAACTTGAGAACTTACACTAGTGCTCTCATAGGTGAAGTTAGATTAAAGAATAGATAGATAGATATCGTATTTGTATTCGTATTAGTAATAGTTTTTAATAGAATATTAGATTATAAAGATCTTGATAATGTCAAATTTTTAAAGTAAATTTCATTCTAAAGCAAAATTAAAGCTTGAGATCACTAACAGATGCAACGTTGATTCCTAACGTAAAAGAAAATCCTATTATTATATAAATTAGAAAAAGTATATCCACTCGAATATTATATAGGCCATTAGAACACGACGACAAAGAAAATAAATACATGGGGTCAAAAGACCCAAAGATTTCAAGTTTTTAGACACTCTTCATGCTAAATTTGACTTTCAATTTGAATTTTGCATCTTCCAACATAAGATAGAATTAAAAATCTATTGAATGAATATGATTCCTTTCAACAGAAAATAATAAAGGTCCAGAACGCTGCAAGAAAGGAATGCTAATAAAAGTTATCTCAATTGCTGCAAGGATACAATGAGGAAACACAACTTTCATTAGAATCGAATATTGCGCCCACCATTCCTCCATCGCTATGTTATCATGTCAACAACGATTTGAAGGAAAGATTTCTTATTAGAGCTTATTTTCGTCAAAATATCGGAACAAAACAGAGGACTCATAGTACTAAGTTTAATATGTATTATTTAAGCCTCTTTTAAACCGTATTATAACTATTATCCCCAAATGACTAGTAGCATTAAAGAACAAGAATAGTTTGCAATGCAAAAAAATCATCACTTTAGAATAAGATCATGTCAAAATGTACAGCTTCCAAAAAAACAAACATATTGTATATCTAGAACACGAGTTATAAATTGATTTTCATTCGTGTACACACACTCATTATTATTATGTCCATCTCAACTCATGCTTTTCGAGTTCACGATTATTGAATTTTGTTAATTGATTTTCGCAATTATTTAAAGAAAACAAGAAATTAAGTCAAGGACAGGCAGGGATGCGATGCAATAATGTATGAGGGTAGTAAACTAAAAAAAAATATCATTAAAACATATATGAATCAAAATGCCACATTGTGACATCAAATTTCGAACGAATTGTTAACGCGACGTCGAGTTAATGGCAGAAAAAAATTTTTTAATCAAAAAATCTACGCATATTCTTTTAACAACTTCAATAGTAATATCACAATAGGGTATAGACAATAAGAAAGTAATTGCTAGATGGTTTTTTGATTAATAATGAAGGCAGGAAATCACCAGACAAAGATGAATGGATTATTGGTTTTTCACTTAATTTATAGATACTAATACTATTTTATGATCTTTCTTTTATTATCGAATAACTTGCCAAATTAATAAACATACAACGAAAAATCTTCTTGTAATTGTTGAACGTGTTGTCTGTCATATGTTAGATTTGTTTCTTTTCGAAAATCCTCTAAACATTTAAAATATTCTTGCCTTTTGTTTACAAGTTCTTTAATTTCGGAATTAGTTAGCATCATTCATTAACCTAGTAGAATTATTTTTACTTAAATCATTATTGTTATTATTACTACTTGTCATGGTTATATAATAATATAAATGACAAGGAAAGATAATGTTAGAGTCAATATGAAATGCGTAATTAGAAAGTTTATATGATTAATTATAATCACGTCGTTTCCTGCATTTTTTGTTAGGAACAGGAATAAAATCCTAAAATTATTATAATAATTAGCTGTGACCCAAAACTATTAATTGCCAAAAACTAGTTTAGAGCGATGGGAGTCTAGGTTTAGATTTATGGCTCTCTC